GGGGAAAAAAAAAAAAAAAAGGAGAAATGATCTAAGAGCAAACATAGGACTTGAAATCCAAAGAGTGTCCTGGGACCTGATTCCACACCTGCCCTGCCTCCCTGCCCCAGAGGTATGACAAGGAGAAGGGCATCACTGTGCAGCCCATCAGCCAACCCAGAATCCCCTGCTCATCCTAGGCTCTCCCCCTAACACCTCACTCTGACCTCTCTTCACTGTCCATTTTGGCCTCTCCACAGGGCTCAGCCCTCTCCAGATGACCTTGTTAGCATCCACCATGTCTTCTGCCACAGCCTCCTGTCTGTTTTCCCTCTCTCCAACATCCCAGCCCCGCTCCTTTGAAAAAAGGAATCTCATGACATCATTCTGTTAAAAAAACATCAGTGAATAAGAAGGACAAAATATGTATGATCTCACTTATATATATAGAAAGAAAGAAAAGAAAAAGCAAATGTATAGAGACCAAAGTTGACTAGTGGCTACTAGCAATGGGACAGAGGGGGAAGGGCGATATTGCTTATAGAATACTAAGTTTATGTTTACAGTGATGGAAAAACATATTGATTAAGGGTAGGATTGCACAGCTGGTTATTGTAAGTGCTGTCAATAAGTTGGACACCTATAAAAAAGTTGAATTGGTGAAAGTGTGTGGTAGCTATATTTACAACAACAAAGAGAGAGAGAAAGTAGGTGCTGAGAGAGCTTATGTACAACCAAATACCTCATAGAATTGGGTTCCTTGATTTGGAGGTTTAGATACATCCCAGATAACTGGCCTACTAACACGCTTAGTGTTTTACTTCCTAGTTCACTGCACAGTGCCTGGGATCTTAAAAGCTTGCAAACAGCCATCCAAGGCACAACTGGTCTTATTCACCTGGAGCAACAGAGGAAGCAGCGTTAAGAACAGGAGGAGGAAATGGAATGTGTGGTTAATTGCCACCATGAACAACTGCCTCCTTTGCCATGAGACTGGAAGAACTGGACGGTGCCCAGCTACCACTACTGAACGTTTTGATCAAAGATTCCATAGACGAATCCTGATCAAAAGGGGGGAAATGCAAACTGAATTTTAAATTTTCATAGGCTCTAGACTTTCTAGAACCATGGAGACGGGATGAACTCCCAAAAGTGTTGCCCTGAGATAATGTTTAAATCTTAAACCTAAAGTACTTCCTGAAGTCTTCTTAAAACCAAACAATAGTTTAGTTTAACTAGTAAAAATGGTCTGCCTTCACAATTGTGCTATTGTAAGAACTATCTATATGGGATCAAACTGACACCAACTTGAAAGATTAGATAGGAACTCTTGGGGCAGTGGGTTTAATATGCTAATAGGACAGGAACCACTCAGAAAAGGAAGTGAGAATGGTTTCCCAACTCAAAGAACTTGTCATCAAAGTCATTGAATTGCATATGTAGAAAGTGTTGAATTGCTGTATGTTTTGCTGTGTTTATTCTCAACAACAACAAAATGAATTATAAAAAGAATGGCAAAATGTGTGTCCTTCTGAAGACTGATTGCTGAGGACATGGGGCACATTTATTATTATCATTATTATTAGTTTTCGGTGTGTTTGAAATTGTTCATAATAAAACGGTTTAAAGCAAATTCTTAACAGATCTCCAAGGATCTCTAGAGAAGTCCTCTGACGGCCAAAGCCCCTCGCGACCTGTCCCACCAGCTTCTCCGGCTCGCCTCCGGCCCTCCCAGGCTGCAGTGGCTCACTTTCCCAGCTCTCTACCGCAGCCCTATCTGCCCTTGCAACTCCTGCTCGGAACATTCCCCTTCTGTCCTGCCTAGAAAACGCTTCCTTGGAAACAGCGCAAAGGACACCTTCCCAGACTCTCTCCTCCCCTCTCCCAGAGAGGGGCCAGATGCCTAAATCCCTATATGTATTTTGGAAAGCAAACACCAGATACGTATTCGAGAGGGACTAGAAAGTTACTAGAGCAGGTGCAGCTTTTACTTGAACTTGAGCGCGCAGAGTAATCTCTCTTGGCTTCTGCTTCTGTCGCTATAAATTGAAGATAGCAGCGGTGCTTATCTCACAAGGTTGGGGTAAGGGTTCGGAGGCATTCTCTATGTAAAACAGCTTCACATAGTGGTGACTAGCAGGGGGAGAGAGAGACCGGCTCACAGACAGACAGACTCCAAACAGTGGATAATTATGCAGCTTGTCTTAGGTGAACGGCTCCCAAAAGCCACAGGAAAGGAACTGCTGCTTCGCGCTAGTTGGGAGCTCGAGAAAACTGGGGGAAATCGGTGACACCAAAGTCCCAATTCCTCTCCTGGGCCCAGGGGCGATCCATACTTTGGGGGATCTTCAGAGCCTGAGGCCCGACTCCTGGGCCGGGTTCTGCTCCTCTTTGGAAAGCTGTGCAGGTCCGTGGCCAGACCCTGGCTAAGAGGGCACGGTGACCAGCCCCAGCGGGAACCCTCGGGAGCCTGGCAGCCCGCGAGGAGCGGGGAGCAGATCTGAGCGGGGTCCACTGCAGCGCCCCCACCCGCACGCGGACTGCCGGGGCGCCGCGGCTCGTGCGTCACC